CAACACTGGAACAGCTAGAGTGAAATGAGCTGTTTGAAGAACTAGATAATACCTCATCATTATTATTGCTTGCAGGTCTGGCCATAGAGCAGTCATAGGAGAAGTTTTCAACTTGGTGCATTCCATAGAGACATATCAGAGTCTCTTCTTCATTTCCTGATGAACTGCTTTCATCACTTGAGCCTTTGTGATCATCAATTGATTGATTCTTTGAGAGCTCATCCCAGACATCCTTGGTTCTCCAGTCATCATACAAGTTTTGGTTAGGCACAGAATCTGTTGCCAACCGTTTGTCCATTTCAGAAAGTGTTTTGGGAAGTTGAGTGGTTTGGATCTTTAGTTCAAATTAGTCAGGAACTGACTCTATGAACACTCCGCTCTGATACCACTTGATGGTCCTGGATAGGGTAAAAGTCTAGAGGGGGGGGGGGGGGGTGAATAGACTTTTAAATTTTTTCGACCTTTACAGAGATTTCCCTCTAGAGGAGTTGATCCATAATCTTTTGAGAGATTAATAGATGCACAGCGGAAGTCTTTACCCTATATATATTGGAAGTTTTAATCACTTTCTGATCAAGGGAAGATTGGATTTAAATAGCCAGCAGTTGGCTAGGCAGTTGGCTTGGCAGTTGGCTAGGCAGTAGGGAACTGCTGAGGCAACTGTTAGTCAAATACAGACTATATGACACAAATGATGATGGAATATTGTTTAGGATGATGAATGCAGTAGAATACTTATTCTTTTGTTGAGAGGAAGCTACAGCAGTATTTCAGCAGTGGTCTCAGCAGTTGGGTGGTACAGAGTGAACTGCTGAGTCGCCTGCTTATATTATAAACTGAAATTTGTAGCCTGGTTCAGACTGCCTTCTTACTAGAGATGTTTTGAGTCTGTGATGATACTTGAGATGTTCACAGGAAGTAAGTTTGTATGAGCAGAGGGCTCAGCAGTTGGGTGGTCACCAGAGCACTGCCGAGGTCTCTGCTATACTTGAATAGTGAATTCCTGGAATCTAATATAGCGACTCTTTTGGTAATTATGTGACCTTGTATGGTGTGATGAGGGCTTCCTGATTGGATACTGAGCTTTAGAGTTTTAAAGGTGCTTTGCCTGAGCAGAGGTCTCAGCAGTTGAATGAAACCAGGGAACTGCTGAGCCAGTTGGTTCAGTAAGAGAAGTGATTTCTGGCAAAGTGTACCTTTAGACAGTGATGTTGCGAAGCTCTTGTGAAAAGATCATCTCAAGAAAAGGTGAGTGATTAAGCAGTAGGATAAGCAGTTGGGTCAGTTAAGACAACTGCTTAAAATGCTGCTGGCAAACTCCAATTCCTTATACGAGAAGTGTTGGGTGTGTGCTTTTTTGACTAAGGAAATCAACACATGATATATCCTGGTTCAGAGGTGGTGTAATCCTCCTACATCCAGTCCCATCCTATTTCAGATGGATTTCACTAATGTATTAAGCCCAATACACTTAGTGCCAATCTAGCCTTCACAATTCTGGCCTAGATTGAAGGTGTTTCACGAGGAGTACAACACCACTCCAAGCTACTCAATCCTTTAGGTTTTTCTCAAATGATCCAGTGGGGATCAAAAGGTACTCCTAACATATCTAACCACACTCAGGCTGGGATCAACTGTCCTCCTGAAGTGTTTACAACAATTTGTGGTAGTGATTACACGAAAGTTCTAACCTCCAACTAGGAACTAAACTTCTATGATTTTGGCAATGTAGACTTGATGCTTAGAAGTTTAGTGAAGCAAGAGTCTAAGCAGAGAGTCAGTGATAGAATAGCACTTCTTGCTCAGTGAAATATCTCTCTACTTAGGATGCTCTGGCTTGTCTAGAAACTTTCGTTTCAGCCTCTATTTATAGGCTTTTTGGCTGATTAATTTTATCCGTTGGTTAGGATAAATTGATCTCTGCCGTTGATCTTCTGGCAAAGACAAATTGTACTTCCGTCTTTTTGTGTATGAGCATTTATTGCGGCTGATGTTTTTGCCTTGCATTATTCAGCCGCTGAGGCATCTTCCAAGTGTGCGTCCCATGCTGCGGCCCCAGTACGTTTATGGCATTGATTGCCGGTCAATGTTTGTCTCTCAATCATTCACTTGGTATACTTCTTTTATCTAAGAATGTGACATACGAAAACTTTTTGAGTCAAATAGTATTTGCCGGTAGGATTCAAATATCCTATAAAGGTAAAGAGAATTTACCTTATTGCATTTTTACTTTTCCGGTAATATTTCTTAGACTCAAAAGTTTGTACATTTAATTTGTCACGTAAATACTAGAATAAAATGAGGTACAATGTACACGTGCTAAGTATAGTGGCATCATCAAAATCTATCCAAAATTGGGTACTAACAATACTATTAACCCATTTAAATTAAATCTCAAGTATTACACTCTAAGTTCTATAACCTTAAAATAGGGGTTTAGGGGCGATTTATATAGAAAACGGTCAAATTCGGGCGAAATCGGGACTTCTGGGGGGCACTCTCGGTGAGCATGGCACTGAGCATCCGGAGAAAATTTCCATGTTTTGGGGCCACGCTCGGCGAGCGTCCCTGCCACGCTCGGCGAGCGTGGACGGCAGTAGCTTCCTCGTGATTTCTCGCTCCTCGCGCTCGGTGAGCGTCTGTGCACGCTCGGCGTGCGTCTTTCCCTTCCTAATTCGATTATGCTTCCTTCACAAAAGTTGTATCTAATGAAGTCTTATATCCAACACAACTTGCAAAACTGGATTTGAATCATCCAATCAAAAGATATGAATAAAATGGTGGAAGGTCGCATTCTGAAATCTCAACAGCGATTATCTGACTTCTCATCGGTTTTCACCTTTCTCCTCTCAGATTATCGTCATGGTGTATTCTTATGATTTGTAGCCGTTGAAGTTGGATTTCATATGGAACTTGAATCTTGTACTTTGGATGATTCTACAAAAAGATATGCTTGAATGATTAACAGAACGTCATCCTGATCGCCGTTTTTTACTCTGGGGGGGCTGGGGGAGGGGACCTGGGGGCCTGGAGTAATCAGGGCTGAAACTCACTCCATTGAGTTTTAAATTAAACCCTTATGTTCCTAGCGAGTTTCGTACTTGAGACCTCCCACTAGGCACGGTAACCTCACAATCAGCTGGGCTGGAATGCTTGGTTTCCTGATCGCCGTTTTCAAGCTCTATTTGTCCTCTTTTGATCCCGTAGCCAATCATAGAGCTCTTTTGTCTTCAAATCTTCATTTTAAACCCCCTGTTGATCTCCGAATCTCTAAATTCACTCTCAAATGCATCTTGTCTTGTCACGATTGCTTCTCAAACACCGGTGCCAAGCTTAAATTCCCTGATTTTGACTCCAAAAATACCAAACTCGATCCAACGTGCGATAAAATATGACTTGAGCTAATAATGAGACTTATGACACCTTTAAGCTAAGATAACCATCAAATCCGATCTCAACACGCATCAAATTCGTGTCTAAATACGGACTTATCATGCATTATATATATTTTTCCTTGGTCGATGTTTACTTTTTTGCATTGGTTTTTGTTGATTGGCAAGGTTTTTTGCATCTTAATTGTTTTTACTCTTATCACCTTACGTTTGACACACAGGGAGAAAAATAAAGGAGATGTATTTATGCATTTGTGTGCGTTCGATGAGGTAGTTAGTGTGACAAATTCGGAGTGCACGGACTTTCCAAAAACCTTTTATTATTGTAAATATTAAGGGTAGATGTAACTTGAGGGGGAGTTCCCGATCTACATTATGTTACACTCTTTTCGTTTAACCACTGAGATTTGTTACTTGGTAAAGTTTTTAATGAGGTAACTATACATATAAACTTTAATGATCAAAGCAAAGATCAAATAAAGATAGACTTAATGAAAAAAGCCTATTTTGATGTTAGACTGTTATACAGAGTACTCTTTTTCTCCAGTCAAAGTTTTTTTCCCCACAAAGTTATTATTATTTGACAAAAGTTTTGACGAGGCAACAAAACAAATACCAAATTCTATCTACAACTCAGCACAATGAGGAGTGTTGAAGGGAATTCTATGTAGTGTGCTACTACATCCGTCCCGCTATAATTGTCCCGTTTTACCTTATCGGTGCGTTCCACTAAGATTGTCTCATACCAAATTTGGCAAAGTTTGTGCGACTCTAAATCATTCTTACATTATTCTTACTTTATCAATTTAATATCAACCACATAAACTATTTTTTATTGATTTGCGTGTCACTTTCTCTTGTTCCATTGTTAGCGGGACGAAGGGAGTATCATTTATATAGAATATGTATTTGGGTCATTCTACGTAAACTATGTATTATAGGGGCGTTTGGTAATGAAACTCCACACACAATTCCTCTACAACAAAATATGAAATATATTTATATAAACCGCTTTTTATCATAAAAAGGTAAAAATTCAACTTTCTTATTTTTATTTTTAATAAAACAAAATACATACACCTTATATACTTAGTATGTACATACACCTTATCATTTTTAGGATATTTTTTTGGAGTGTTCTAGTTCTGGACGAGACCAGGCCAAAGAAGACCAAACTTAAACATATTAGACCAGACCAAACCAGACTTAAACAGACTAGATTAAATCAGATAATACTTGGACAGTCATAAAATACACAGAGATCGGACATTTATCAAATCAATTCAAACCAGAGTACCAAAGTAGAATAGACTTAAACATATTAGACCATCTTATTTCCACCCAAAACAAAACATTCTTAATATGGAAGAAACTAAATAGGCAGAGGATTTAGGAAAATTTCAAAATTACACACTTTTTTTGTGTACACACTTTTACACATGTCTATGCATGTTTTTTTCTGTTACAAAAAAACGTAACAGAAAAAAAAATCATACATAGACATTTGTAAAAGTGTGTGCACAAAAAAGTGTGTATTCAAGTCCAATTTCACGATTTACCTCACCAAATTGAATGATTTCATTTGGAGTCCGCGGTTCGTACAGAGCACACTCACTCACCAGGCTAACCCAAAATAGCAATCAAAGCCCCACCACTTCATACGCGTCGTCTTCCCCTTTGCCGCATTTCCTCTCGCTTCACTTCTCACACTTCCCAACCCACTCACTCTCACCTCGCTATCGTCGCCGGCGACGTCCCCCGTAACTCCTCCGTTCCGGCATTTTCTCCTCTCCGGTAAACTCTGAAACCCTCGCTACTTCCCCTCACTCTCCCCACCCAACGAAAAATTGCTTGCTCGTTTTCGGACGCGGATCTCTACTTTTTTACCCAGTTTGAAACTATATAGACGATGAGTGGGACTAAATATGGAAATGTACTGATGATCGATGCGTTTTTTTATGTTCTCTATGTGTCTGTGGAATGGGAAGGGTTTATGGAGTGTAACTGTGAAAATATTGCTCCTTCCTGTATTCTTCTTCTTCTTCGTTTGTCCGCTTGTCGTTTGTGTGGCTATATATTCCATGTTTATGCATCGGCCTGTGACAATCTAACAATTCTTCATGACGGCCGTATATTCCAGTTTTTTGGTTCATATGTTATCTGACATGGGAAGAAAGAGGGTGTGGTTTTGCTCTGTGTTAATGAAGCTTGTCTTTCATAGTAGAACCATCCTGAAAAGATTGGTGATATAGAGTTATAATGATATTATGACTTAAAAAAAGAGGCATGAGTTATTGCACTGTCTAGGTGACGAACAACACATTGGAAACAAGCGGAACAATTATGCTGTTTAACCTTAGTTTTCGAAATCAAACATGGTCTTTGTTTATATAAGCCTATCTTCTAGATGGTATCATGGTACTAAATAAAGGGCTTGGTGTGTGAGTAGTAAATAGCTTTTACACATGGAATGCACTGCTTTGCATAATCCATATGCAGTACTTGGCCACTGTGGCTAACTCTCGCAAAGAAAATCCAGGTTGTCATTAACGACACTGCCTAAGTTGTCAATCATGAAAATATTTGCTTACAAGTTTGTTTGTCTTGTAATCTTGTATTTGTTATGAATGCCCTTGGTATTTGGAGTTTCAGAATTTTTCATGAATGTGAACATGTGTTTAATGGTAACAAGCAAAGACATTGCTGGGTGATTTTCTTAAGACGGATCTATGATGTATCCCTGTTAACACATAAATTTTGTTCTTTGAAGCAGTATCAACAATGAGTTCGGGTAAAGGGAGTAAGAACCCTTCTGGTTCAGGAGCTTCTGGTCATGTGCCACAAGGTGATGCATGGGAGACTTATGGTAAGAAGTCGAGAAACAAAGCTGGCAGCAGTGCTACGAATCAGCGTGCTCCCCAAAACTCCACTGCTGTTTCTACTGGCAATGCTTGGGGAACTTCGGGTCCTAATGCATGGAATCACGGTGGATCAGGAAGGGGTCCTGCTAGTGACCTAGATCCTAGAAGACCACCAGCTGGTAGAGGTAATGACAGGGTTCCTGCTGTGATAACACCTCCCTTACAACATGGATGGAACTGGTCTAGTAGAGTGGCGCCCACTCAATCTGCTAGCCAAGTTCACCAAATTCCACCTGCTCCAGAAAGCATTCAAACTGTTAATGATGAAATGGGAGAAGAAGATACCGAAGATGATGACATGCTTGATGACTCTGATGAAGAGTTACTCAGTGATGATTTTGACTCAGATGGAAGCGCAAAGAGTCACGGAACACGCAAGAAGAATCCATGGTTCAAGGAGTTTTTTGACAGTACTGATAAATTGGCCAATGAAGAGCTCAATGATCCTGAAAGGCAATGGCACTGTCCTGCTTGCAAAGGAGGTCCTGGTGCTATTGATTGGTATAAGGGTTTGCTTCCGCTAATGACACATGCCAAAACACGGCGATCTAAGCGAACAAAGTTGCATAGAGAATTTGCAGAACTGTTGGAGGAAGAATTAAACTTGAGAGGAACTTCTGTTTCTAGAGCAGGAGAATCATATGGAAGCTGGAATGGAATTATTGAGAAAGATTATGAGATAGTGTGGCCACCAATGGTCATAATCATGAACACTAGGCTTGAGAAAGATGACAAGGACAAGGTATTGCAATTCTTTGGTCCATCTGTTTATTTAGGTACTTCTTATAGAAATCTACCATGATGAATTTTACTCCATCCTGTAACTTACTTTTATATGTTTTTTCGAGTGGAATTTTTCAGTGGACTGGAATGGGAAACCAGGAACTGCTTGATTACTTCCACAACTATGCTGCTGTCAGGGCCCGACATTCGTATGGGCCACAAGGCCATCGAGGCATGAGTGTTCTGATTTTTGAGGCATCTGCTGTGGGCTACCTTGAGGCTGAGCGTCTTGGAAAGCACTTTTCAGATACTGGAAGAGACAGGGAATCCTGGGTAAGAAATCCTGTACTATTTTACGCTGGTGGGAGGCGCCAACTCTATGGTTACATGGCAGGGAAGAAAGATATAGATTCCTTTAACCAACATTCACATGGTATGCTTACCTTCATATCTGTTTTTCAGCTAGATGTAACAAATATTTAACCAGCATTCACATGGCATGCTTACCTTCATATCTCAAGGTAAAACCCAACTAAAATTTGAAATGAGATCACATCGGGAGATGGTTGTGAATCCAATGAAGCAGATGAGCGAGGACAACCAGCAGCTGCAGTGGTACAAAAACAAAGCCGCAAAACACCAGAAGCAGGCAAAAGCTCTTGAAGAATCTTTTCTTGTGATGGGTGAAAAGTGCCGTGAGACAGCAGAGCAAAACAAAGTTGTTTTGTCAAGAACAAAAACCCACCATGAACAGAACCAAGAAGAGGTGTGATAATATCTTTGAACCTTCTAATTTCTAAAAGCTATGCTGATTTAACTCAAGAAATATGATTATGAACATGTCTATAATCATTGTTGTCTCATATAACCTTTTACAATAGTCTAATCGTAGTTGTGCATGACCACATGTGCAGTTTGAGAGAGAAAATGTATCATAAAAATATGAATGAAGCACCGAGAGATATATTTTGGACACTATTCTTAATTGGATCAACTCAATTAAATTGGACTCCGATTTGGTATAAAGAGGTGGAGTGGTGTGCGAGAGGGTTAAGGGGCTGGATTATAGGATCAAAACAAGATGCCACTGGTGGACTCCGATACGTGGTAGGCTGAAAGCCTAATGGTATTTCAGGGATGCTGCGGAAATTTATACATAATATTAAATTAAATTCAAAAACAAAAACATGAAAACAGTATTTTTTTAGTTTTCCATTATTTCCAAACATGACAGTTTTTCATAAGAAAAGAATATTTTATAATAGATGCCACTTCTGTCCCAAAAAGAAGCACGTTTCTAATACTGAAAACAGTATTGCAATGTCTCTTTTATCAACATGTTTTTTGCTGCACATGATTTCGGAAGATCATAAAGTTTAAGCAAAATGTTTTTGAATCATGAACTGTGTTTCTGCGTGTGTATTGATCTTCAAGCTGTTTATTGCCACTTCAATGTCACATGTCTTTCATGGGTGCCATATGGTAAACTGTTGATGCTTCTAATTTAATACTCCCTCCGTCCCTTATAACTTTGTATCTTTCCTTTTTTGGATGTCCCAAAAACTTTGCCACTTTCCCTTTTAATCAATGAATTTGTTGTTCCTGTTATTTCTCTCTCCTCTGAACATATTTCAACCACACAGTTTTTACTTTATTATTTCCCATGCCGGTCAAACATGTCAAAGTATTGAGGAACGGAGGGAGTATAATCATTGCTCAGATCTTGGTTGTCTTTGATTTGTGTATTATGGATTAAGAGTAGGACCTTGAATTGTATCTGTAATTTGAATCTAGTATTGTCCTATTGGGTGTATTTCTGTATATTATTTATGCTTTTTGTTTAATTCTTGGCTTTCTGTTTCTTAATAGATCGCGGGTTTTCATCCACCACATTTTGTGTGTGTATGATATCGCATCACTTTACAAATTTTTCCTGTCTTGATGGTTTTAACTGTTTGCTTTGTATTCACTCTTCAGATGAAGTATCTAGACTGGTTCATTAAAGAAAAGCTCCAAAGCATACATGATGCAAACACTGCATGGGGTGGTAACCATGCAAGTTCTTCAGTTGCGGACAACAATCGAAGGTAAAATGATATTCTGGATGTTATGGAGGTGGTGGGGAGGGGGAGTCTGTAAGACAATGTTTGTTAAGATGGAATGGAATCAATTTGTATTTGAAATGTCTACTATGAATTGCATTGCCATGCGGCTTGCAATATGTTCAGTTGAGTTTTTAATTTTTGCCTTTTCATTCAGATAGTTTCCTTAAACTGTACGTCTATTGTATATTTGCAACTGAATGTTGTTAGTAATTTAACTGAGTGGAATCTCAGGGCTGAACAACTGGCAAAATATTTCGAATCTCTGGAACTGGAAAAGGGAGACTCTGTGGAACATAAGCAGAAACTGATGGAAGCTTATGAGGAATTGAAATGCAGACGCCAGGCGGAAGAGGATGAAATGAAGCGGCGCCATCAAGCAGAAGAGGATGAGATGAGGCGCAGGCACCAGGAAGAGGAGGCCGCCGCAAAGGAAGGGTTGAATGCTGTATTGGCCAAGTTGATGGAGAAGTAATGCGGTAATGCCACTCTGGCATTTGACATATTATTGGATAAACCAGACATCTTTAAAATTTGATTTTGAACTGATTATCGCTATTATTAGTACTATTTGTATTAACTATTACTCCCTCCGTTCCAATTTGCAAGATACTTTACGGTTTACGATGTTTGACCGATGATAAAACAAATTGATCCTTGTCAGCACTCAAATTAGTTTTAGAAAATAAAATTTAAATATTCAGAAACTACATTAAAATCGCTACAAAACCTGCAAAGAATAATTCAGATTTCATAAACTTTTGATATATAAAGTAAAAGATTAAGAGTGATTTATGTTGATCAAGTGAATAGTAAATGTATCTTACAATTTGGGACTGAGAGGTAGTTTTCTTCTGCTGCTATATTTTCTGGGCATTTGAAGATCGTGGAATTGGTGCAAACTGAGAAGTCAGGTGCACCTATCAACTTGTGTTGTTTTCCACACATTATTATTATTTCTAGATTCTCACCCGTGCGATGTGCAAATTAAAATTTATCGATATGTGATTAAGAATTGTATTATAAAAACACATAAATAATTGAACTTAGAATAAAGTGATAAGTAATATAATAAAGAAAAAATTGAAAATAATAATCCGAACTATATTGTTGGTTCGTTAACAATAATCTCAACTAGGGGTGGATTCGGTTCGGGCCACCCGGTTCGTGACCCGGCCCGGCCCGGTACTGTGCGGGCCCGGGACCGGCCCGGTCGGGCGGTCCGGGACCGGGTATGGACCCGAACCGGTGGGAATGGCGGGGCGGGCTCGGTGCTGGATTAATGTGACCCGGCCCGGCCGGGTCGGGCCCGGGTCCGGTCTTAATTTAAATTTTTTTTTTTTTGGGTCTTGGGCTCTTGGCTAGCCGTTGGGGGTGGGGCTGGGGACAACCCAAACGGCTATATAGCCGTTGGGTGGGGTAAAGGGGGGGGGTCCGGGGGGGTTGGGTGGTGGGGGGGTGGTGGTGGTGGGGGGTAAAAAAACCTATAAATACTCCTAATCTTAAACATTTTTTCATATCTCTTCTCCAATTCTTCCTAAATCCTATTCTTAACTCTCTACTCTCTAATTCTGTTATTCTCCATTCTCCAATATATTATATTTATTATTTATAGTTTATATTGATTATCTACTTATATAAACTATAAATAGATATAAATAGTATTATATTACTTATATTTGTTATCTAATTATATATTACTTATATATTTATTATATCTATTAATATAGTTGGAATTATATCTAATTAATTTGAAGTCATTCTATTACTCATTTACTCCCATCCGAAAGACCGAAAGTCCGAAAGAGGTACGAAATTATTCTATTATTTACACTTGTTTAATTACTAGTTAATTTGCTACATTTGACTCTTGTTTAATAGTTAGATAAATAGTTAATTAGTTTTTTACAATTTTTTATTAATTGCTACATTTGACTTTAGTTTAAAACATATGTTGTACACAAAACTAGTTAATTCACTACTTAATTTGCTATAACTCGAATTAATAGTTAGATAAATAGTTAATTAGTTTTTTACAATTTTTTATTAATTGCTACATTTGACTCTAGTTTAAAAAATATGTTGTACACAAAACTAGTTAATTAACTACTTAATTTGCTATAACTCGAATTAATAGTTAGATAAATAGTTAATTAGTTTTTTACAATTTTTTATTAATTGCTACATTTGACTCTAGTTTAAAAAATATGTTGTACACAAAACTAGTTAATTCACTACTTAATTTGCTATAACTCGATTTAATAGTTACATAAATAGTTAATTAGTTTTTTACAATTTTTTTATTAATCGCTACATATTTTAGATGGATCGTCCTAGATATTCGGTTGATATGGGTAACCTCAAGCGCAACCGAACGAAAGAGCTTGCGAGGAAGAGATCCCGCAAAGGTAAATCACATATCGGCTCTTCATCTCAAAGTCGAGATGATTTTGATACGGGTTACGTAAGGAGGGATGGGGATGCGATGACCGACAAACAACTAGAACAAGAATTGCACCGACATAATTCCCGCTTTTTTCAAGACCAACCGAGGACCATTGACGAAGAAGAGCTCGAGGACGAGGACGACGATGTGGAGGAAGCAATTCCGGAGAGCCACGAGGAGGAGGAGGAGGAGGGTGGCGGCAGCCATGACGCCGACCAACCAGCCTCATCCCAAACAGGTACAAAAAAAAGTAAATCTGAATTAATGGCTAATAATTTTTCTAAGTGGAAGAAAAACTATAGCTTGGGGATTTCCGGCGGATACGGATCCGCCACAAGACACCTTAAGTCCAAACACCCGGTGGAGTATGCAAAATTAGGCGGCAGAACGGGGAAGCAAACGCAAATATCGAGGTTTGCAAATAACCAACAAGCTTTTGGTAATTTCTCATACAATGATGCACAAAATTTGACAGGTATGGCTAACTTACTTGTTGAAGAAAATTTGCCTTATTTGTTTTCTGAAAGTCTTGCTTTTCGTGATTATGCACAAACTTGTTTAAATCCGCAATATAGAGGTTATAGTCGCAAAACGATTAAGAAAGAAATTTCAAGGCTTTATGGTGCGGAAAAGGTAAGGTTACAAAATTATTTTGCAAACTTTGATGGACGTGTTACTGTATGTTCTGACATATGGGAGGATTCTTATCATAATTTACATTATTTGGGTCTGACTGTACATTATATTGATAATGATTGGCATATGCATAAACGTGTTCTTGCTTTCCGTGAATTTAATGATCGTCACACCGCTGAACATATTTATATTTTGATTGAACGTATTTTAATTGAGTATAATTTAATTGATAAGGTGTTTGCTATTGGTTTTGATAATGCTACTAATAATACTGCTGCTATTCCTAGATTGCGTGAATTGTGTGGTTCTACTTCTTTGATGAGTAGATTTTTTCATCAACGATGTGCATGTCATGTTCTAAATTTATGTGTGCAAGATGGTCTAAAAGCGTTGGGAGCATCGTTGGAGGTAGTCAAGGGGGGATTAGACGTATTTGGGGTAATGGACAACTTAGGAAAAAATGACATGATTATTTGATAGAAAGAGGTGAGAGATATGTGGCTTTTCCAAAAGATTTGTCTATTCGTTGGAACAGTACCTATAAGTTAATTGGAGTTCTTCTTAGATATAAACAACATTTTCCTGCTTTTATGAAACAATATGATAACTATATTATAAACTCGGCTGAGATCGACACCTGTGAAAAAATTTGTAATGCTTTGATATATTTTAATAATGTAACTGAAACTTTTAGTCATGTTTATAAACCTACCTCAAACCTATTTATTCGTGAAGCTGTTAATCTCGCCGGTGCTTTTTCAAATTTTGAGAATGCTGATTATGTGAGTTATTTTGCTGGTTTTATGAAGGAAAAGTTTTTAAAATATTATTCACATATTCCGCATATTTATGGTATTGCATTTGTTCTCGATCCTCGTTTTAGACTTGGTTCTTTAGAAGAATGTTTGAATTATTATTATGCTGCTTTTTTTGGTCCATTGCCAATGTATGAGGACAACCCAATTGATCCGAAAAAAGAATACAACGAGGTTAGTGATATATTTTATGCATTATTCAATGAGTTTCATGCACAATATGGCAATGCGCCCCCTCCCCCTACACAAACATCATCTAAAGGAAAATCAATTTTCAAATCTACGTTTGCCAATCTTATTAAAAAAACGAAATCAACTCCCGCTACACAACAAAGCACAATTAATGAGATTTCTTTGTATTTAACTTATGATGTTGATTTTGAAGAAGATGATGATTTTGACGTACTAAACTGGTGGAAGGGAAAAGAAAGAATGTTCCCGGTTTTAGCAAAGATGGCTAAGCAAGTGCTATCAATGCCGGTTTCAACGGTTGCCGTGGAACAAGAATTTAGTTCGGCCGGCAATGTTCTAACACAAACCAGAATGAGGTTGAGCGCTGAATCTCTTGAGATGCTTATATGCTACCACGATTGGTTGAAAGCAGCACGTAGAGCTCAAGAAATTGACATCACTCCATCCCAACACTTTATGGATGAATCTACAACAGAGGGTGGCTCTACCTATGCCGGAGATTCCGATTAAAAACAATTATAGTTCCTATTTAATTTTCAAATGTAGTTCCTATTTCATTTCAAATAAATGCACTTGAAGTTTGTTTTTTAATACTTGTATAAAACTATAAAGTATAAAATATAAATTAAAAAAAAAAATATTTAACCGGCCCGGCGGGTGGCCCGACCCGTGACCCGGGCGGGTGGCCCGGCCCGAACCGGACCCGTCCAACCCTCGGGCCGGTCCCGGGCCCATGTGATACGAACCGGCGGCCCGACCGGACCTAGGCCCGGCCCGGGCCCGACCCGGCCCGAATCCATCCCTAATCTCAACTATTGATTATTTTTGTATAATCCCAACTCAAAAAATCTATTTGTACACACTTTTATGCACACTTTTGTACACACCTCTCCTATTTTGTCTGTGCACATAGGCAGTTCGTTAACAAAAAGGCAGCATTTGTCTTCCAATTGTCTGTGTACACAGAAAAATGTACAAAGTGTGTACAAAAGTGTATACAACAAGAAGGGCTCATCCCAACTATATGGACTGTCCGCCAATAATGGACCATGACCACATATTATCTGCTCTAACAAGTGAGTTTGAATAGAAATTAAGCGTAAAAATTGAAATTTAGGATTATTTATAGGGATTACATGATATCTCTTTAGAAACTATAGGAATTTATTTATAGTCGGTCACGTCGGACCATTATTGGCGGAGGGTCCCTAAAGTTGGAATTATTCTGAAATAATCGATAGTTGGGATTATTATGAGCGGACCGCCAATAGTTGGGATTATTACAATCAATTTTTCCTATAATAATTGTTCATAGTTAAAGAGCAATTAAAACATCGTTGACGAAGGAAAAATGTAAATATTATAAAAGTGATATAATATTTGAAAGTACGAAGTGGTGATTAAATAATAAGTGTTCATAGTGAAACTACAAATTCTGAAAGATTTTTTTGTAAACAACATTAGTAATATGATCGATCTGTTGACCGTCCTCATCACAGATCAACATTTTCAACGCTTTGCGATTGAAAACTCTTGATACTGCAATAGAAAGTTGATCATGAATGAAGACTGTTTTTATTAGTAAAAGTCCAACATGTGCCAAAGTTTGACCTTGAAGGGGAAGATAAATTGGCGGAAGAGGGGGGCCTATGCTTTCAGCTGGGGAAGTTTGATACGCAGAAGTCCATATATGAGGCTCTGGTGAAAAGAGACCCCTCTTTCGCTGCTCAGTCTTGGGGTTGCCTGAAGTGATGGCAAACCCAGAGACGCCTTTAGGTGGCCCTATTCCTGATGCTTCCGTTCTTCCTCCTCCAAAAGCTTGAGTCTTAATTTAACTTTCTGAAACATTTACCAAACACTTTTTCCAGACATGTGAGTTTGATGATGTTTTACACCCTAGGGGTGGTGTGTAAATAAAAAAAATACTTTCTTTTTTTGCACATATCTTATGCTCTTTCTTGATCTGCTTCATACTTTGCTTATTGCTATGCCTGTTTTATATTCCTTGAATCCTGAGGCCCTCCAGCCTTACTCGAGGCCAGTTGGCTTCCCTTTGGTTGTTTTGACCATTTGGGGAGTTTACCTCTAAATCAGCCTTCAATTGGGACCAGTGTATTTCGGGCTCTGGGATGGCCTGAAGGCCTCCCTACTTGCCTTGCTTTAGGCTCCTTATCTTTCTTAGTCACAATATTCTAACTTGTTTTATGCCTTGAATTTCCGGCCAAGATCGTCTCTCCTGTTTTACGGAAGACATTACCAATTTTCTAACCCTTAATTAGGCTCTTAATGATTGAGTCAAATTAGGTGGGCTTTTCATCTAGGTTATTTTGACCTTGTGATGAGCCTCTTAATTGTCGAAGCTTTTGTGAGCTTCTCCGGTGTAAAGTTCATTCCATTAGTTCATCTTTAGCCTTGTAAAATCAATCTTAACATTGAATAAGGTTGTCTTTTCCCGTTTAGGAAAATTTGATTTTGTTTATAAAGGTTGTTTATCCTTGAGAAAGGTTGTTTATTCTCACTCTCATCTTTAGTAAGATTAAGTTGAGCTTCTAGAATTAGATGAGTCCAGAATTATACTTTGTCTTTTTTCGAGTACCAATTAGGCATGATCTTTCCTTTTTTTCTTTTATAGGCGTGATTGGTTAAGAAACATTTGCAAGTTCGTTCAAGTGTAAAGGATATTTGTGAATTAAAACAAAACTTTATTGAAACTTGTTCAAAAAAGAACTTCATACTTACTGGTAGAATTTCAACAAGTGCTCAGAGTTCCACACCCTATCTACCAGCTTCCCATTCAGAGTACATAATTTGTAAGTCCCAGGCCCAACTATCCCCTTGATTTTGTAGGGCCCTTCCCAATTCTTGACAAACTTTCCTCCTTCTAGAGGCTTGCTAGCAGATCTCCTTCTTAGGATCAAATCCCCAATGTCAAACTGTCTTGATCTGACCTTGGCATCATGATATTCTTTCACCTGTCGCCTACAGTTTTCAACCCCGATGAAGGCTCGATCCCTTCTTTATTCAATTAGGTAGAGCTTGGCTCTTAACATTTTCTCATTATTCCTCAGGGTCGTAGTCCTCCACCCTCCTGCTCGGCACTATTGCTTCGAACGGTGCCCGAGCTTCAAAACCATAAGTCAAAGCCAAAGGGGTCTCACCGGTGGCTTTTCATGGAGTTGTTTGATATGCCCGGAGTGTGTTGTTTAGTTCATCCACCAGGTCGTTCCCATGGACTCTAGCTTCTTCTTGAGGCCATTAATGATTATCCTATTTGCATTTTCCACCTGCCCGTTGCATTGGGGATAAGCAACAGACGCTCTGCTAGCCTCAATTCCCCACTGCCGACAAAAATCTTTAAAGGGCTCGGAGTCAAGCTGTTTTCCATTATCCGTTATAATTTGCACAGGAACTCCAATCCGACAGAATATATTCCTCCACACAAATCTTTACATTGCTCGGCGGTGATAGTGGCCATTGGTTCGGCCTCAACCCACTTAATAAAGTAATCAATCACAACTATAACGAACTTCTGACCTCCTAAGCCCTGCGGAAGGGGTCCCACGAGATCTATTCCCCACCGCGAGAATGGGATCACAATGCTTATAGGGGTATAAAGGGTGGCAGGCCTCCCAGGGCTTATTTGGAACTTCTAGCACACCTTACATTTTCGTGCGAAGTCGGCGCAATCCTTCACAATGGTTGGCCAGAAATATCTTTGCAAGACAGCCTTCCTGCTTAAAGTAAACGCACCTTGCTGTGAAGAGCAAATCCCAGCGTGCAATTCTTTTACTACTTAAAGGGCCTGTCCTGGCCTTAGGCTTTCAAAAGCACACCATTGTAGCTTCATTTGTAAAAGCTTCCAGTCCTGGATCACGTAGCTTGGAGCTTGTCTCCTGATTACCCTTGCATTTTCTTCATTTGATGGTAGTGTTTCACCTTCCTTGTACTCTATTAGATCGTCAATCCAGCATCTTGGAACAGACCTAACGGGTAAAACCTCCTGATCTTTAGTTACTTCGATACTTGGTTTGCTTAACACTTGTATCTGAGCTATGCGAGTGAGGTGTTCAGGCGCATCTGTTGTCAGTTTTGACAAGATATCCGCTTCCTCATTCTGGGCTTGTGGAACACATACCAGATCAGATTCATCGAAATGTTTGATGAGCTCCAGAGCCGCATCCCTGTACCTCTGCATTCATGCTTTTTTTGCTTCATATCCCCCCAGCTATTTGATTACCAGCTTAGAGTCGCTTTTGACCCTTAGCTTTTGTACCTTGAAGTGACTTGCTATCATGAGGTCAGAAAGCAAGGCTTCATACTCTGCTTCGTTGTTTGATAGGGGGAACACGTACCTGAGGACATAATATGTTTTGAAGCCTTCAGGGGTGATGAGGAACACCCCTCCTCTGCAAACTTTGGACCCTGATGATGAACCATCATTCATCAAAGTCCACCAATCTTCTTCATCACGACATATTTCTTCGGTTACATCTCGTGATGTGCATTCCATAACGAAATCCACCAAAGCGTGACCTTTGATTGATGTTCTAGTTTGGAAACTTACTTGGTACTGGCCGATTAGCAAAGACCATTTTACTACTCGTGTAGTTTTTGTCATCCTGAACAGAGTACCCACCCCCAGATCTGACAAGACCTTAAAAGGATGAGCTTATAAGTAATGGGCAAGTTTCTTGACCGCTGCATATACTGTCAGGGCGGTCTTCTCCAAGGCCGAGTATCTGAGCTCGACGCCATGAAGAACTTTGCTTGTATAGCAGACCGGCTTTTGTATGGTTCCTTCCTTGCGCACTAAAACGGAGCTGACTGTACTTTGTGACACTCGTAAGTAGAGGATAAGTGTCTCACCTGCCTTAGGTTTACTGAGCCAGAGCTGACCGTAAACACTTCTTGAGATCTTCAAAAGTAGTTTGGCATTCTTGAGACCACTCGAACCCGTTGCCTCTTTGGTTAAAGAATGAGTTCAACCAAGCGCATAGTTTGTCGTATGATTAATTTCGAACCAGTTTATGTTTTTTTAACCAAACATTTTATTATTATTAAAACTCATAGAAAAGTATAAAAGCTAATGAAGATAACCGCTGATGCCGGATGAAAGCTAAAGAATAAAAATAAAACTATTGGAAAGAAAGTCTTTAGTTTCTCGAGGCTAGCCTTGCACTCTTTGGAATCTTAAAACGATTTCAAGAGAGATCTCTTGCTCAATCTAAAAATTCTCGTTCTGATAATCCTGTCAAAAAACGCATAACTTCAATTTCTTTTTCGAGCGTTTCTGAACTGGAAAGAGCTTGAATGTGATAAAACTTGAATTCTTGCCCCTCCGTTGAGTTCGCAATCGTGGGAGTAGCTTCATTTTTTAAAGGCCGTTTCCACAATGGTGTTCTTACCCTTAATAATATTTGCAAAGCTCTCTTTAGTCCGAACTTTAGATTTGAAAGCCTCGCTATCTAAGCCCGAAGTATTGTCCCTGAAAGCTTGCAATTCAGTCTGAAATAAAGTCTCAAATAACGAAACATTATACTCAAAGATGTCAAAATATCTAGGATTGATCTCAATTTCAGGTTCTCCAAATATAGAAGCTCCTTCTTCAAAAGAGAAGTGTCCAAAAAAGACGGAAGAGCACCTAAAAAACTAACTAATGTTGTGTTGTGCCAACCCTAAGGAATTATAATAGATGCACTACCCAAACTTATGTTTTCGTTCTTTTTGTTAATATTATTTACGATTAATTATATTTTACTCTGTTTAGAAATATTAAGACGAGCACCAACAAACTTTAGTAAAATGTTAAGAAAACCAACAAATGCGATGCTTTATACGATTCATTTATTCATATGTTAAACATGATTATTCACTTTCCATCCTTTCGAATGGAGTCGTAGGCTCACTATTTTTTTGGCTAAGAAATATAATGGAATAAAGCAAAATTGAACACTAAAATGTATACGCTTATTTGTTATGAAGCAACAGTCATCCATGCAATTTTCGATGCGATTTTCATCGTGGATCTCGGAAATAGTCGTTTGTGCTTTAATGTAGCGATAACTCGATAAGGCTGCATACATGTACATGAGTACATCCAATCCCTTTACCCCACCGCAAGTGAGAGTCTTTGCGGCATTGATGTAATGTTGTTGTTTGTTGTTTGTTAAACATGATTATTCAAAAGCAAAAAAACGTAGCTCTTCCATACTTGATGAGAACCCTTCTACGGTTCTATACTTCTACCCATCATTCAACACGATCGACGCTCATTTCAAACTGGAATTGGGCATCTATTTGGAGGTAGGAATTTTAGATGCAAGTTTGTTCTAATGTTTTTAGCAGAAACTGAACTGCAAGCAAAATAAATCGAATCACAAAAAGTTGAAATCGAACCAAAAACTGAACTGAACTTGATTTCGGTTTGGGTCTTCACCTCTGAAGTTGGAACCAAACCGAACTGCCTAATCCTACATATATATATATGTTATTTTATTTTATTAACCATTAAGGATTAAGTATACTAGGTATAGTATTTTCTTTAGTTCTAAGTTCGTGATTCAAGAAAGTTAATGTTTAGTACTACAATTATTATGAACTTTTAAGATATTGATATGTGATATTTACTTAATTAAGTGAAATATTTGCATTTACACTTTCGTCTCTTGCTAACATGCTATTGTATTGATGTTTAGTTTAAAATTGTTACTTTCGTTTTTGCTAATTGTTGGATGTCGATGATATTTTGATGTTATATTTAGAGTTGAACAAAAGAAACCAACAAACCGAAACCGGTCGAAAAACCGACTAAAACCTTAACCCATATAAAAAATCAAAGAAAACCAAAACCTATGAAAACCAACCAATTCATAGGTAGTTCAGTTCATGGTTTGAGGATTAAGCATGAAAACCCAATCGAACCGATGAAACGGTTTAAACTTTAAACCGACTGAAAATGCTAAAATTGACTGAAATAGATCGAAAATAACTGAACCGCAACTAACTAAATATAGTCAATTCAGTTTACCTTCCTCAAAACCAAATCGACACAAACTGGAAACGGCAAAAATAAAAAACTGACAAAATTGAACCGACAAACACCCCTATTCTTAGCTAGTTATGTAAGTCATATTTTTTATCTCACAACTTTTTTATTGGAATAATGCTAAATATTTGATTCGATTCATTGAAAACCTTACTTGAACTGGGCCTCAAAACCGAAGTTACTCAACCGACATCAAAATACATGTGAACTCTTCGTCTCTTCGATGACATTCCCTTCACTTTTCACCCTTAAAAATAGGAAATATTTTCCGCAAAATAGATTATTTATTGTTTAAGAATGTTGTACTCTACTTAAAAAATTAGAGGTACAAATATTTACCATTTTTCTAGTTGATTTTTTATACTTTTTTTTTTCTATACAAAGTTTAGATTTATAAAAAATTAATTTTATGTTAGCATGAAATCATGATTTGAGTAATAGGTTGGTCAAGTACTCAAGTAGATGATTTTATTTGGACTGAAATTTGTTGGTCTAGTTTGCTTTGGTCTTTTTAAGTTTAGTCTGGTCTAATATGTTTAAGTCTGGTATGAACTGGTCTGATATGATAAATGTCTGGTTTGCATGTATTTTATAACTATTGAAGTTTAGATTGATCTGATCTGTTTAAGTCTGATCTGCGACCGAAAACAGACCAAGTTAAAATATCCTAAACTTGACTGTAGCAGTGGATCACACTACAGATCCAAGAGATAATTCTCTAACTAGGACTAAAACTTATAAAAAGTGCAATAATAGGACTAATAATCCGTAGGAGTAAAAAGGGATGACTGGACAACATTACCCTTAATGAATAAATCAGTTTTTTTATTAATTCATAGTACAAAATAAAACAATAAAACAAAATTGAAGTCCCAGCACAGTCTTCATGCAAGGAACATAGCCATCTCTGGTGCCACCTCCACCGCCACCACTGACGTCGCCGCCACCACCACCATTGGCGTTGCTGCCGGTGCCACCTGCACCGGCGTTAGCTCTGTCCCTACCACAGGCGCCACAAGTTGCTCCATCTTTGACCTTATCTAGCTTTGCTGTCGACCGCCTCCATATTCGGCGTCGCCGCCATATGTGACGATGTCGCCGCCTCATCCAGCACCAGTGTGCCTCATCTAGCCCCACCACGGCCTCCACTGATCTGACCAATGTAGATTTCAGATCCGATTTCAGATCTGTTATGACTCCCACTCAAGTGTCATCTTGCACTTGAAGTGCCATTTTAATAACATTATTGTCATCCTCATATACAAGCAAGATGGCATTTTCATATTAAAAAACATGGCATTAATGTCTTTTCGAATGAGTAGTAATGCCATCTTCATAACATCAGTGCCATAAAATGGCATTCTCAAAGTGAAATTTTCAAATTCAAAGGAGTAACATTGTAAAAGTAATCCCATAAAAATGATACAATTACGAAATACATTTGCAATATATGATATTTAATGGGAAAAATAATAATAATACTAATACTAATACTAATATGTAATATATTTTCAAATTAAAGAATAATAAAAGTCTAGAAATAAATAAAAAGAACTAAAAATTTTGGAAATACTAAAAACAGATTGTGGGATAAGAGGAGGAGGACGAGGAGGAGGAAGAAGAAGAAGAAGAAGAAGAAGAAGAAGAAGAAGAAGATCCAACCATACCTGGACATATGTCGTTCACTTGTGGCCGTTTGCCGCTCATCGCCGTTCACCTTTCGCCGCTCACCACCGTTCGCCACTCATCGGTGGCCGGAAATGGAGAGAAAATTCATCATCCATATCTCAAAAAATCACCGGAAAAGAAAGAAAATTGAGATGGGTTAAATAAAATTGAAATTATTATACAAGAGAAGAGAATAAAATAGAGGCCTGAGATTCAAATTTTTGGATGGTAAATGAGAGAGAATGAGATTTGGATTTGGGGATGGAAGATGGGGGAGAGGATAAAGGGGAGATGGGGGAGAAACAGAAGGTCTGGGTATGGAGCAGAGAAAGACACGTACGTCTTAGGCCCGAGACGGGGCATAAATGGAAGGTTAATCAAATTAGTCATATTCAGGGAATAAATTAAAGAGAACTCCTACCCAACCAAAACCTTGACCCATATAAAAAAATCAAAGAAAACCAAAACCTATGAAAACCAACCAATTCATAGGCAGTTCATGGTTTGAGGATGAAGCATGAAAAATCAATCGAACCGATGAAACAGTTTAAACTTTAAACTGACTGAAAAATGCTAAAATTGACGAAATAGATCAAAAATAGCCAAACTGCAACTAACTAAATGTAGTCGATTCAGTTTACCTTCAGTCCTTCCTCAAAACCAAATCGACAAAACGAAAACGGAAAAAATAAAAAACTGACAAATTTGAACCCGACAAACACCCCTATTCTTAGCTAGTTATGTAAGTTATATTTTTTATCTCACAACTTTTTATTGGAATAATGCTAAATATTTGATTCGATTCATTGAAAACCTTACTTAGACTGGGCCTCAAAACTGAAGTTACCCAACCGACATCAAAATACATGTGAACTCTTCGTCTCTTCGACGACATTCCCTTCCTTTTTCACCCTTAAAAATTGAAAATAATTTCCCTAAAATAGATTATTTATTGTTTAAGAATGTTATACTCTACTTAAAAATTAGAGGTACATAAAATTACCATTTTTCTAGTTGATGTTTTATACTTTTTTTTTTCTATACAAAGTTTAGATTTATAAAAAATTGATTTTATGTTAGCATGAAATCATGATTTGAGTAATAGGTTGGTCAAGTACTCAAGTAGATGAACTAATGAGTTCTAAAGCTTGGGAAGGTGGGGAGATGAGCACTGCGAGAGCAAAAAAACCCTAGCAAGCGGGCGATTCGACGGTCCATGCGAGCATCTCCGGCAAGCTTTTCTTGAACATGGTTTGTACGCCGGTATAGGCGATTTGGACGGGCGACGCTGTTCAGTTAGCGTTTGGGAGCCCCGATTTTGCTAGTCTCTCTGTCTTGGGAGAAAATCCAAGCATAGACGATTCTTGGAGCTAGGCATCTCGACGAGTTCTACTGCAACACAGGTCACGAGGCATCATCTTTTCGATCCCCTTTGGCCAGACAAAGTGCAGAGGACTTCAAAAGCAAGGGAAGACAATCGCCCCTAAAAGCAGCAGGAAGGAATAGGGTCAGATCTTTTCATGCGTGCGTAGGGAGAACCCAATCTCCTTTGCGCATCAATTTCAACGAGTTTGATCTGGTATGGCGGTAGTCAGTTGGAATTGTAGGGGTTTGGGAAATCTTGCCACTGTCCAGGTGTTGGCTGATTTAGTACAAACAAAGAGACCGGATATACTATTTTTGATGGAGAATAAATCAAATGCTGCTTACTGTGAAGACATTCAGAAAAAGCTCGATTTCCATGATTGTGTGTCGGTTGACAATGTTGGCTTAAGTGGTGGTCTTTGTCTTTTCTGGAGAGAACAGGTGTATCTGGAAGTTAGAAAATTGGAGAGCACTTTTATTGATTGTTTCGTTAAAATGGGGGACGATGAACCCAGATGACGTTACACCGGCTACTACGGCTTCCCGGAACGTAGTCATAGACGTCAATCGTGGGATTTAATAAGAAATTTGGCTAGGGAGAGTAATGAGCCTTGGTTGATGATGGGAGACTTTAATCATGTTATGTTTGATAATGAGCGCAAGAGCAGTGTACTGCCCTCACCATGGTTACTTAGGGGTTTTCGAGAGGCAGTTTGGAGCAGTGGATCGGTCAATGTATCTTTCGAGGGCTATCTTTGGAGGGTCCCACTAGTGATCACTTGATGCTTTATACCCGTCCACCGTCCAAAACGAGGGGGCTGCAGCAGGAAGAGGAAAGTGTTCAAATTTGAAAATATGTGGGTCCATGAGAACGATTGTCGGGAGGTGGTACAGAGGGCATGGAATAACTCCTATGGGCTGCAAATTTGGCAACGATTAAATGGCTGCGGTTTGGAACTGGACCAATGGAGTAAGAGCAGGAAAGTGGGCTTTCAGGCTTGTATTGATGTTTGTAAAAAGCGTGTAGCTGTCCTGAGAGCGGAGGGTGGCAGATGGAATGTGGCCGAGTTCAACAGGGTCAAAGAATCCCTTGTTTATCTGCTTGAACAACAAAATATTTTCTGGAAGCAGTGGGCAAAATCCTTTTGGCTAAATGAATGTGATAGGAACACTAAATTCTTTCACAACGCTGTAAAACAGAGACATAGAAGAAATAAAATGAAAGGATTGAGACTCTTAAGTGGTGAATGTGAGACGGATCCTACTAGGCTTGGGCGTATAGTGGAAGATTATTTTACAGAGATCTTCACTTCTCATGGTACTTGTATGGACGAGTGAACGATGGGGAACCTGTCCAAGGTGAAGCCCGAGCAGAATCACGAATTAGTGAAGCCAATTACGGCTATGGAAGTTAAACGAGCTGCCTTTGATATGCATCATGACAAAGCTCCGGGACCGGACGGATTAAACCCAGCTTTTTTCCAACATTGCTGGGAGATTGTGGGCGAAGATGTAGTGCGCTTTTGTCAGAACATCATGGAGATCGGCAGAGTCCCCCGGGAGGTAAACCAAACTAATTTAATTCTTATCCCTAAAAAAGATAAACCTGAAGGTATGGGGGACTGGAGACCTATAGCATTATGCAATGTTGTTTTTAAAATCTTCAGTAAAGTTCTAGCTAATAGACTAAAGAAAATCTTGAATGAGTTGGTCACAGTCAATCAGAGTGCTTTTGTACCGGGTAGATCAATTATTGACAGTGTTATGATAGCCTTTGAATCTTTGCATTATTTGAAGGAGGGCTATGTTGCCTTAAAGCTTGACATGAGTAAGGCTTATGATCGAGTGGAATGGGGTTATGTGGAAGCAATTATGAGATGTATGAATTTTGATACCAAATGGGTTGGTCTGATCAAGGAATGCATGAAATCGGTGGAATATTTTATTTCTTTCGATGATGATCTTATTGGACCCATTGCCCCTAGTCGAGGAATTCGTTAGGCGGCCCCGCTATCTCCATACATTTTAATTTTAGTTGCGGAGGGTCTTAGCGCTCTTATTCGCAGACAGGAAAGCATGGGCAATATTTTGGGAATTGCTCTCGCGAGAGGAGCCCCAAGAATTTCTCACCTATTCTTTGCAGATGATAGCTTTCTGTTCTTTAGGGCCAGGGAACAGGAATATGAGGTTATTAAACACATTTTTCATATTTATGAAGGGTGTTCTGGATAGGTGGTGAATTACCAGAAGTCTACTATTAAATTTAGTCCAAACCTGGATGAAGAGAGGCGGAAGATTGTTGGAGATTGCCTGGGAGTGCGAACATAAGGAAACAATGCTTGTTACATGGGCTTACCTTCTCTCATAGGAAGAAATAAAAAGAAGATTCTTAGTTATGTGAAAGAAAAAATTCATTACTAGGGTGAGGAGTTGGAATAATAAATTTCTTTCTAAGGTGGAAGAGAAATTTTGCTCACAACTGTGATCCAAGCTATGCCGACTTATGCTATGAACGTTTTCCTGCTGTCTAAGGATTTGTGTGCTGAGATCGAGGTAATCATGAATGATTACTGGTGACAAGGGGCGGATCAAAACAGAAAAGGAATTATATGGAAAAGCTGGCAAAAACTTTGTATTCCGAAACAGAAAGGCGGACTGGGGTTTAGATCGTTGAGGGAATTCAATCTAGCCATGCTAGGCAAGCAAGCTTGGAGATTAATCAAATATCCGGACTCACTTGTGGGAAGAATCTTTAAAGCAAAGTACTTCCCTAATTCTTCTTTTTTGCAGGCCAAGTTGGGGAATAATCCTTCCTTCATTTGGAGTAGTGTTATCGAGACGCAGGAAATGCTTGAGAAAGGCATAAGGAGGAAAGTGGGCAATGGTCAGACCATTTCGGTTTGGCGTGAGCGCTGGTTACCAGGACAAGGGTTGGGAAGAGTTCAATCAAGACCTCCGGAAGGAGTGGCTGACATGAATGTAGCGGCACTGCTTAATGAGCAAGGGAGTCAGTGGAACAGGGAAAGAATCAATACCATTTTTTCAGCAGAGGATAGAAGAGCTATTTTGTCTATTCCCATCAACAGAAGGAGACCAGTTGATGAAATCTGGTGGAATGAAGACAATAGAGGAACTTATACAGTAAAGAGCAGTTATAGGGTACTTTGGGGGGAGTACACGAGCCAGGGGTAGATGGGATGGATGAGGATGTGGAATCTTAAAATACCACCAAAAATGAAGTGCTTTGTTTGGCAGGTGATGACGGGATGTCTACCTACGGCGAATAAACTGCGTCGCAGGCATGTGGAGATAGACAGTGTGCGCAAGGTTTGTGCAGAGGAGGATGAATCAGAAGATCACATATTCAGATCTTGCAGGATAGCTGACATGGTGTGGAGGAAACTGGGGGCCCGTTATGTCCGGCAAGGGCAGACTTTTATTGACTAGATTAATTTTTTTTTTGACAATTTGCAGGATGATGATCTATGCATTTTTGTTGCTTATCTTTGGAGTATCTGGAAGCTCTGGAATGACAAAGTTTGGAAGAACCAGGACGCGGATTGGCGACATTGTTTAGAGATGGGAGCGGCGGTTCTTCGGGGATGGAAAACTGCTCAGATAGAACCCGGTGGAACGACAAAGATGACATGCCCGGCGACTGGTTGGAACAAGCCAGCGGAAGGCAAAATCAAAATCAATGTGGATGCGGCGTTAGATGCACAAAATAATAGACGAGCTTGGGCGTGGGTAGTCAGGGATTCCCAGGGCAGATTTATTGGTAGTGGCTGGAATGTGGAAGGCGTTAATTGGTCAACATAGATCACTGAAGCAATTGGCGTACGTGAAGCGCTGGTCTAGGCAAAAACACAGAGTTGGGGGAAGGATAGAGCTAGAGACCGACTCCCAAGTGGTAGCGGCTGGTTTAGTTAAACGAGATGGGGACGCTTATTTGGATACTACTTTAGACGATATAAGATTCAGTCTTCGTAATGAAGCTAGGATAGAAGTCATTCATGGTAGACGATCCGCAAATGTAGTAGCTCATAAGTTAACTAGGGCTGCTCTTTCTATGTCAGATGATTTTTCTATGTCTAGTTTGCTTTGTTTTTTATTAAGTTTAGTCTGATTTAATCTGTTTAAGTTTGATATGAACTGGTCTGATCTGATAAATGTCTGGTTTGTATGTATTTTATAACTATTGAAGTTTAGACTAATCTGATCTGTTTAAGTCTGATCTGCGACCGAAAACAGACCAAGTAAAAACATCCTAAACTTGACTGTAGCACTGTAGCAGTGGACCACACTATAGATCCAACCAACCCAAAATGATGTGTCACTTTTGTACCCAACCAACCACTAATTTACGGGTTAGCCTTTTGAAGTGCATATACACGTTTATCTAACATCTAAGAGACTAACACCAATCAAACCACTAGACTAAAAACAGACTAACACCAATCAAACCAATAGACTAAAAAGGTATAGCCAACCTGCACAACTCACCTGATGTACAGTCCTAATCGAAAAAAGAAACCAACTCTTACGGTTCTCGGCTTTTCGCTAAAAATCTTCTATTCGTTTGGTTTTTAGCCGATTTCAGTAGCAAGACCTATAATTTTGCGTGTTTAAATCTAATCAATAAATTCAGTCACACTCCCTAAATTCCAATCACCTGACAAAGATAGTGTAGATGGTCCATTTTTAATATGGGACACATCATTAAAGTTACATTTCTACATGTATACGGTTGAGATTAAATGATCATAAAACATTAAAGAAAGACTCAACGAAGTCATCATACACTAAAATTTCAAAATTTGAACTTGTCAAAATCAAAATTTGGAGTTCACCTTCTCTTGAGAGCTCATACACCCCCCAGTCAATAAGGTTATCTTGGCCAAAAGGTTTATTTTTTAGTAGACCCCACCTATGCGCAGTCCAGGTGCTGCATAGGGACCGCATCCCAGTCTTCCACGCACCTACCCTACCCTCAAACCTTACACTTTTGAAAACATTGCTTCACCAGATCAGTTAAGGAAAACATCATAGTAGGAATGCTGACGGGTCACTTGATTCTACAGTGTAGAAGCATAACTTCTTAACTTTTGAAGGATCTTCCTCTCGCTTATTCGTAGCATCAATGAATGATACAGTTTAGGCTTGGTCAGCTGAGAGCTCCTATTCAGATCATCAATGTCAATTCTGAGAGACTCAGTACCATATAAACTCTCCCGGGCATCTGCTAGTGACAAGAGAGCCATGTGAATGCGTTCTCTGAGCAATGAATTCCCCCCAAATTCTAATCCATTTTCAAATGAAACTCCATTGTGTGATAAATATAGTTGCCAGGATTTCCTGACATCACCACCCATGACCGATACAGCAAGATCGGCTTCACCATATTCTTCATCTGACATCGACATTATGTAAATCAAAATTATTAACTCAATTTGTGGTTCACCATGGAATGTGATTTCAAAATATTCAGTGTCTTGACTGACACATCCACAACAAGTCAGCTTTCTCCACAGTGAAACCCTCCTCCTAGTGTGGCGATATGAGAACTGAGAAGAGCTCCACTGAAGCACCAGTTCATAGTCTATGTTTAAAATATCATAGGGATTGTCTGGCTCTGTGAATCCATACCTATGCAACAATGCAGCACTACCTAAGGATCCATATGTATTGAATACCTAAAATAAAGTAATATTAGAGAGATACTAATGGTTATACATCAAAATTATACACTATTAGAGGAAAATATCAAATCTACACAATATAATTATTGATTCGCATTAAATCATTTTTCGCATGAAAGCGGCTATTTATTTCACTTTCAACTTTCATTTTATACTGCAACTTCTGTATCTATTAAGGGTCAGTGTGTGACTAATGTCACCTATGAAAAATATCTACCAAAAAAACACTATTCAACTTGATGTAGCAAAACAACTCATCACAAACCTCTTCTCCTGCTTTGACATTTTTCACCATGATCATTTCTAGAGCTGAAGGATCGTCCCCTTGTATTGAAGAGGAATCCAAGTCACCCTCACTCAAAGATTCTACCTCTGCATATAGATTTTGGTTAGCTGCTTCGTGGTTACTATTATGTTGGTACTCAATGTTACTATTCTTACCATCCACATCACCATCTGATTCAGAGTAGGAGGATATGGATGTGAAGTGCACGTCCTCATCACCAGTCTTGTGATTAAAACTACAGAATAAAGCTTTTGATCAGGAGCAGAAGACACCAGACATTGCAATGAGCACAGGTCTAATTTCTTCTAATAGCACCTAGATTTGAAAAACAGAAATTTATATGTAGTACTACCTCCATCCCGCTAACATTAGGACAAGAAGGGGTGACACGGTTATTAAGAAAATGAGGTTATGTGGTTGATATTGAATTGATAAAGTAGGAATAAAGTAAAAATGATTTAGAGCCCCACAAACTTTACCAAATCTGGTATTAGACAATTTTAGTGGGATTTCCCGAAAGGGAAAAATGGAACAATCTTAGTGGAGATACGAACCAAATGGGAACTGCTCACACATGAATATTTTGACTTCTGAATTCAAGGGAGGTGAGTTTTGTGGATCATATTACATTTTTAAACACTGGATTATTGAATATTTGCTTAGCAAATACATAGACACAAAGTTGCACCACGAAAATCAATAAAGCAAATTTGAAAAACGATATAGTTATAAGTTATAACTATTATCAATCATATACTCCATATTTTATAAACTCTTCTAGCCAATGCTTCTGTGGTGCATCATATCAGATAAAAGCGGTTTCAGAATAATGAAGTGTTTTTGGTTACATGCAAAATGGTAGAATCCAATCAAGAAAAGGCTGCTGAAACATAGGAAGGTCAAGATATTGAAGGGACCCAGTACAAAGAAATGGAATAGTTATGGTTTTGCATGTAGTAGTAGGAAAAAATACAATTCAAACAATAAATGAAGTAAACAAGAGACCTAATAATTCACTATATAGAATGGTTTGTACTAAAGACTAATGGAATTGAACTCGTCTGTAAATTATAATGCTTCTCTCATTCCAATTGTGTACCACACATTCAGATAGGTTGGAATCATGTTAACTTTTGTATTATATTAATTAATTAATTAATTAATTAATACACATTGACCAATCAGGATATGTGGTACCGAATATTTGAACTCAAACTAATGAGCCATTATTAGAATATAAGAAGTACTCCCTTTGTCACTAAAAAAGTTATGTTACAAACTATTTTTTCACCTAAAGAAGAAATCATGTTTGATCAACCCCATTTAGTTTTTCATGTAACAGTTACATTGTAACTTGCCAAAAAATGTTGCACACTTACATCTAGTTTAGTGAAACTAACAAATAACAAAATCTATAATCAAGTAGGGCAAATTTGCATTTGAGAAATGTTTTAGTTTTAGCAAGACAGATAACAAAATGATTCAAGAATTTAAAAAATATGAAGAAAAGAATGGATGTTAGTAATGTTACAAGAATATGCATGTAGAAGATAAGTATCCTATATGGAGCCAGTCAAGAAACATCAATAAACAATGACACTTACAGGTCTGCAAGGGGAACCATCCCAAATCCATGGTAATCATCAATTTGAAATGATCGAGAAGCAATAAGACTTTTTGCAGCAAAGTATTCTTCAATACCAAAATGTTCTGGGTTAAGGCCCAAGGTAGAATTGGCCAAAAGAGGTTGGATGCACTCTTTCCAGTCCTCGTGGATTAGAATCTTGTCTTCTATAATAATCTTCCTTCAAGAATACCAGCACGGTCACATTCAGAAAACTAACATAAATAGAGCCTTGAGAAAATGACCAAACAGTTGTGGAACTTAAGGGCCTGAGTAAGAGCTCAGCATGCACCTTACAAGTCTTAAACTAAACACACTTGGTCTCCCTATGATGAATTGATGACTAAAACACTATCAGGATGTTCCACTATTGAAACTAGTGTATAATCCGACAAACTGCACATTCCATGAGTGATATGAGTATTCTGTAGCGTACTTAGTTATAGCACATTTTCCCATTTCCATAACAGAGCATCAGGTTATACTTGGGCTAGTTTCTTGTAGAAATCATTGTGAGCTTTCAATCATTCAACAATTCATTAGTCATGTAGACACCTCCCAATAATCCAATACACAACACCAGTAAGTGTATGTCTGTTAGATACACGCCACTGCAATGTAGGTTTTTAATATTCAAAATGTCTCTAAAATTGTATATTTGGCACAACACTTTTTAGAGCTGTTTAAAAATTTTAAGATCATTCTTATGAAGTTAGTCTTGAGTAGCTTTTGAGAAAAAGTTTGTTGCTTTAGAATTAGTTACCGAGTACAATTTAAGATAGTCCTGTCAACTTGTACGTTGTATTAGTACTCCCTCCGTCCCGGTTGAATCTTGACGTTTGCTTTTGACATGGTGTTTTAGGAGCTCAATTAATAGAAGACCAAATGACTTGGATGCCCTTTGACTTTTGGGGAGAATTAATGCTATCCACTCAAATATAAAAAGTGGGTGGGTGGCGAAGGGTAGTTAGGACATTTAATGTAAAAGGAGTTGCCTAAAAAGGAAACATAAAGGAGTAAATGGGACGTCCCAAAAAGGAAAGTGTAAAGATTTAAATGGGAAGGAGGGAGTATTAAACAACTTTTCAATTACTAGAAGTCTAGAAGCTTACGGTTACTACAAAGTTTAAGAAAATATCTTTTCAACTAATCATTTGAAACATACATTAAGTAGCAAGGTATAATAATGCCAATCAAGTTTATCATGAATGCACATACACGAAATAGAGAAATTTTACAAAGAGAAATCGCAAAGAATACCTTGTGGAGCTCTGTGCCAGCAAGAAGAGAGTTAATATCAGAGAGAGGCCAAAGCAAAGGGATAGGCTCTGAATGGGGGAGAAGCTGAAGATAACCATACCAGGGGGAGAGGGGACCGAGACTCCGTTCATACATGAGAGCTACGGCCAGGCCTAAGTAACCGTCAAGCTCAGCTTCCTCAATCATTTTCCGAGCACCACACGTTTTAATCGTCAAGCAGCTCTCCTTGGGGATTTTCGCCACCACATCGCCGTCGTGCAAATCGGAGACAGCTCTGACAAAGAAGGAGGATCCCGCTTCGACGAGCTCCAAGGCGTCGCTGCACTCTACGCGTTCCCAGTTCATCCATTTTTTGAAAGTTCTTATTTTCCTAATACCATACGTTGACAACTATATAAATATTCTCTACCGAGCCGAATCAATCAAAGCTTATACGAGAAGAGAAACAAAAAAAAAAAGAAGTGCGCGAGAGGAAATGCAATAGATACCTAGTGCTCATTCCTGCGGCGACGAAGCCGCTTTGCAGCAGCTACTCCTGCTAGGCCTTTGGCCGGCCGTTTACTCCCTGTTTCGGAGCGGGAGAAAGGGCGGACAGCTCCGGATCAGGGTAGGAACTTATTTAAACTGTGAGCAAAAATGTTACCTGATTTGAACCACACAATCAATAGGTGAGGCAAAAATGCGGTATACCATTTTGGGGTACACCAAGCATAACTTTAAAGAAAATTGAATCCATGCAATAATACACGTAAGAATAAAGTAAAAATAATTTAGAATCACACAAATTTTTACCAAATTTGATACGGAGTATAAGATAATTTTAGTTGACGGACCAAAAAGAAAGATGAGACATTCTTACCAAGACAGAGAGAGTAATAATTAGAGATTTTGTTAAACTATCTATAGAATATACGTAGTACAAAGGGAAAATTTTACAAATAGTACCAAATTATAGCAGATTTCCAAAAATAAGATTGTTGAAACTCGTAAGACCTAATTTAAATGCACTGACATTAATATCCTCAATTAAAAGTTAAAGGAAAACCCCCAATTCACGTGCACATCTCCTACAACAAGAAATTAGGGACTGCGAGCATGACTTAAATGTCGAAGCCAGCGAGCGCATCCGTGATCTGCGCATCTGCCTCAAACAGCTTCACCTTGTCGAATTCGTTTTCTTTCAGAGCCTTCACCATTGATCCGGTTTCTTCAAAAAGCTTTGCAGAGTACCTGATAGCCTTGTGCGTTAATGGAGAGAGGTTGAGAGGGTCCTGCTTTGCTTGAAGCGTGCCTTACAGATCGCAAATGCTGCTCAACAAATGTCAATTGCATCCCGAGGCAATAGTGGATCACTGGATTAATGACACTGTTCATTGGAAAGTATGACCAAAATCCAAATTGCAAACACTAGACAATACATAGGTAGTAAGTAGTCAGTAAACATACAATAAGTTATGATAATAGCTCAATAGCAGACAATACATAAACAATAAGTAGTCAGTAAACAGAAAATAAGTTCTGGTAATAGCTCAATAGCAGAGCAGGTAAAGTAAAGTAATATATATTGTTGGGATATTGGATTGAAGGCCCAATACCCGGATCAAAGTCCCAAAATGTCCAATCCAATAAATAGCCCGGGATCCAGAAGAAGAACATGCCCAGTGAGATATATGTCCCGAACGGGGATCGGGTCAACCAGTGTGTTTGGGCCAGATCAATGATGTTTCCAGCATGGCTATCACCCCGTTCGGGCAACGGGCAACTCGCAAGTGGCAAAGTGCATTAAATGCTAGAGTGTGACATCAGCAAGTGGGAAGCATGGGCATTCGACGGGCGGGATTAGCAACCAATCAGCATTGAGCACCCCATATCACCCATTAGTATAAATAGAAGAATTAATCTCATTGTAAAGGGTTAGCATTTTGATACTCAAGGCCTAGAATAGCTTTATCTCTCTTGTTCTTGTATTAATCACTATTCCGACGTACCGTTCAGGAAGTCTCTGTGTAATCAATAAATTGCCTAATACTAGTGGGCTCTTGAGCATTATTATTCTTCAGCTTTTATATTTCCTTATACATTTGATTTATTATCCATTTCCTGAAATATCCAAAGTTTGTGTTGGGCTTTCGGATCTACGGGACTTGACCTCAACATTGGCGCTGTCTGTGGGAAACTTGAACAAAAAGTTTCAAACCAATCACTTACCCAAAAAAAACCTATTATCAAGATGGTTAGAATCACCTCTCATCACACTAGTGAAGGTTCCGGAAGACGCGGGGAGAGCCGGGGGTCTTACCCGCACTATGATGGGGACTTCTTCATCCCTGAATCATTGAGGAGGAATCCTCACGCTATGCGAGATCTAGCCCGGGTGATGCAATTCATGGCGGACGAGCAGGACGGAGGACAATCCAGCTACACGGAGGAGACCCCCGATGAAGAAACAACCACGACATCAGCCCATTCAAGGGCCCATCGGGAATATTATCGTGGGGCTCATGCAGCTAGGCACCCCACTCCCAGTGACCGTACCCCGATCGGGTCACGAGCCAGAGGACCCACACGGCCGGTTGGACGTCACTCCCAGTATGAAGGACATGATGGCACTAGAGCCACACGGAGACACTGGGATCGGGATTTTGAAGACCTAAGAACTCCACCGCCACCTCCCCTTACAGCCCAGGAGAAAGAAATGGCCGAAATGAGGAGGCAGGTGAACGAGATGAGGGACCAGATGAACAGGGCACCTGTACAACCTACCCCAGTGCAGGCCGGTATCACTTCTCCTTTCACCCGAGAAATGATGTACGCTAAGATCCAAATGGATGCCAAACTGTTGGTCCCGTTTTTAATGGGAACAGTCTAGAGGGGGGGGGGGGTAAATAGACTGTTCAGGATTTTAAACTTTTCTCTAAGTCACAACTGACTTATCAGAGATGGTCGAATTCTGGTGACATAGAAGGTCAAGTTCTGATGACAGAACTGGACCTGGCAGCGGATTGGTTTCTGTCCGGGTAGCCTCTGACAACACTAAGGCAAATGCCTTTCTGGTAACTCTTGAGGGAGATCTGCTGAACACAGAGTCCAACCTTTTGAGTTACACAGTCAAGTTCTTAAGTGCTGAAATAAAATGAGTAAAGTAAATGACACCGGGAGTTTTTATAGTGGTTCAAGGAACAACTTGTTCCTCTAGTCCACTGTTCCACTAAGCTTGCAAAAACAACAGTTTACAACGCCTTAGTCCCTAGAACTTAAGAAGCTCTCCACGTCTTCTTCAAGCCTAGTTGCCACCCGGGATGCAGTCCTGCTTCCTGATGGCTGGTCTCGTTTCACTGAGTCTCTTGGAAGTATCACCCCATCACTTACTCCAGTTAGTTTGAGACACCCCTTATTTTTCAAGAAGTGTTTGATTCAAGATCAGTTTTCTCCAACGTTGCTTCTTCACAAAAGATGTGTAGATGAAGTTTTCGAAGTGTTGAAGAACTGAGGAACTTTGCTACTTGTTAGTTGGATGAAGGATAAGAAAGTAAATCTTCCAACTTGAGCTTTTCTTGTTGAGGTAAGTGAGTCTTTGATCTCAAGAAAGCTTGGAGGTATTTAGTTCTGAGTGAATAATCTGAGCAAGTTCGTGTAGCAAAAGTTATCCTGGTAGTTCTTCAAAATGTATCTTATATACTGGGAGCAGTCTTCCCGTTGGAGTGTAGAAGACAACTTCAATAAATGCTTGTACTGTTGACTTGACCGGTTGGACCTTCGACTTGCTATTTTGGGGGCGTGAAGATACTCGCATGGTCAATCATCAGCTTTAAATATATCTTCGTACAGTACCATGTTCCCGTCGAAAGGTTCCTAGCCGTTAGAGGATTTCCCGTTAGTTTAACGACCATTGGTAAGTGCCTTCAATTTCTGCTAGGTACGAGCATGTCTGATGAGGTTTTCTGATCAGAAGTCTGATGGCAGCTTCTGATGCCAACTCTGGTATCCAACTCTGATAGCTTCTCTGGAGAGCAACTCTGGGAGCAACTCTGGTAGATAATCTGATAAGGAAGACCAAGAGGGTTTCTGGCATGTCGACTATTCTAGTACTTACAAAGACAAATTCTAATACAAAATTTCTATAGGGGTACTTTGAAATTCTAATCAACCTAGCATCATCAAAATCTAATTACATTTATTCCTTACAATTTCCCCCTTTTTGATGATGCCAAAACCCTTTAACTATTTCGAGAGAAGTGCCTTTCACCATAAAAGAAAAAAGTTAAAAACTTTCATTAAGATCTTGGTGGGCAACTTAGCATAGGAAAATAGTAAGAGTACAGTACAATCAGATAGCAATAAAAGGACATAAAGTACTAGAGCAAACACAAGGAAGACACATAAAGTAAGAAAGAACCGATAATTTAAGATGTCATGCAAACTAGAGGCAGAGATGGTATCTTATTATCAGAAGATTAAATACATAAACAGAGATGGATAAAATTAAGCTTCTTCTTCATCTACATGAGGTCCTGCTTTATCAATCCTTTCAAGCTCTGCATTGACCTTTGCTCTGATGGAGGCTAAGTCCCTCGGATTCTGATAGTCTGCCCAGTGAGGTGCAAGCTTGCAATCCAAGTAGTTTCTGATTGCTTCTGATATGTTCTTGCCAGATAGGACTCTCATCTGCCACCAAATTTCAGCTTCTTGTATTGATCCACCATGATTAATTTGGACGAGTCCATCACTGTCCATAATCAGATTTTCTTGTTGCAGTGGGGTCATCAGCTTCTTCATCTGAGTAAATTGAGCTCTGTCAGGCCTAGACATCCCACTTTTCATCCATTCATTAAAAGTAAAGTTGGAGGACTTCTTCTTAGAGCTTCTGAGAGGTGGAGGAGGAGGTCTGGTGACTGCAGTAGCTTGCTTTTTCTTCTTGGCAGCTTCGAAATAAGGAGCAGAATCAACAGTAGATGAGGGTCCTCTGATGGATAAGGCTCTGGAGCTTGGACCTTCTTCTTCTCTGGTGTCTTCCCCCTTTTTGGCATCAACTAGATCGCCAAGGAGGAGCTCAATCTTCGAGAACTCTGATGCTTGAGCATCTCTGATCTCATCAAGAGCCTCTGGCAGAGTCTGGGTAACAGATGTCAGTCCTTCAATCAGGCTCTGTTGTCTTTCCATAGTCGACTGGATGCTCTGTGTACTGGCTTCAAGGAGTACCAATTTCTGGTAACGCTCCTTGTCCTTGTGAAGAAGATATAAAGCTTGCGCTATGTGTTCTGTACACAGAGTTCCTATTTCCATAAAGCGCACTGAGGCTTGATCAGCATTCCATTGAAGAACCTCTAACGCTTCAGTGATCTGCTTCAGTGTCTCATTCTGATTATTCAGAGATTGGGAGTGGAAGTAGAGGACAAAGTTGATTCCATCTACTTCTCTGGAGACTTCATCAATCTTCTTGTTAGATGAGCTCATGAAGGTGTGCAGGGACTCTGTCAGAGTGTCAAGCTTTTCTGACAGTTGTTGTAGGCCCTGATTGAGATTGATGTTTGTGTGAGTCAGATGCTCATAGTGTTTGTCATTTATGACAATGAGCTTGTTCATGTTGTCTATCATCTGACCACCAAATTCTTCTGCAGATTGGACAAACTGGTTGAAGTCCATCTGAGGCGCTTCTGGAGCAAACCCGGGCAT